CTGAATATAAGGAAAGCCCAGGCAGCAGAAAACAAACCAGCAGGGAAGAGAGCCGTCATCTCTGCAAAATGAAACTCTGGTTTGATGGTGATGATGATGATGATGACACTATTATGGTGTCAAATTATTTGCTTTGGAACCAGAGTTCAAAATTTGATTGCAGCATCAGACTCCTTGAGTGACTGAGATTTTCCCAAGCTTGCCTTCCTCGGGGAGTTTTTGGGGTAATTACCTGAGAAATGAGAGAAGCGTGTATTCCAATATCTCAGGGCCTGCCACAAAGAAGAGGGAGTGAACCTATTCACCTGAGGGCAGGACAAGAAACAATGGGTGGAAACGAATCAAGGAGAGAAGCAATCTAGAACTAAGGAGAAACTTCCCGACAGTTAGAACAATTAATCAGTGGAACAACTTGCCTCCAAAAGCTGTGGTTGCTCCGTCATACAAAACCTTTGCCAGACCAATTCTCAAATACAGCTCATCTGACCGGAATCTGCACTGCATATTGGACATTAATACAATTGAGCGAGTCCAGAGATATTTCACGAGAAGAGTCCTCCACTCCTCTGCTCGCAACAGAATACCCGACACCACCAGGCTTGAAATTTTGGGATTGGACAACCTAGAACTACGCTGCCTATGGTCGGACTTAAGTGTAGTATACAAAATTATCTGCTACAACACCCTACCAGTCAATGACTTCTTCAGCTTCAACCCCAATAATACTCGGGCACACAATAGATACAAACTCAAGGTTAACCGCTCCAAACTCAATTGCAGAAAATACGACTTCGGCAACAGAGTGGTCAACACCTGGAATGCTCTACCTGACTCCATTGTTACATCTTCAAATCCCCATAACTTTAACCTTAAACTGTCTACCGTGGACCTCACCCCATTCCTAAGAGGTCCCTAAAGGGGGCGTGCATAAGCGCATCATCGTGCCTACTGTCCCTGTCCTACTGTCCCCATTTATTCGCTCCCATTTCATTCATACTCATGTTTATTCTCCTACCTATCATCTTGCAGACGATTGACAAATCAAATAAATAAATCAACGCTCAGCCCCTTTTCTCCTCCAATGCTCCCCCTCCCCGCTGACATCTACTGCAGCCGAGAAGGCTGTGTCATTCCGTGATGGAAACTTGGACGGCCCCATCCATCACCGGGCAGGCAGCTCTATTTTGTTGGGAAGACAAAAGAGCTTTGCAGGGACAGAAATATAAAACAAGTCTGCAAATACAGCAAGGATGACAGTCCGGCCAGATGAAGATGTACAGGGGGCAGGATCAGAGAGGCAGGGATTGAGGAGCAGTGTGTGACTGGGGTATAAAACTCCTTGCGATCCCAAGCCAACAGCTTAAACAGCCAAAGAAACAACCAGAGGAGGATGTCCATGGAGATTCTCAGTTGTCCAGGTCATGGTTGTCCCAAAGGTGCTTTTTCAAAAGCAACTGGACCTCCTCCTCCTCCTCCTCCTCCTCCTCCTCCTC